AGAATGATATATGTATTCATTGTAAAGTCTATTAGGTTTTATAACAATTGATATTTTTGAATGGCATTTTCTATCATCGTCGAAGTATAATTCGCTTAGGATCTAACATCAGCGTGAAGATATTAAATGCCTAAAAAATTTATTAAATATAAAATTATATCTAGGAGTATATGTGTATTAAAATAACTTACATAAAAATTTTTGATTATCAGATTTTACTATGTTGATGTGATAATTTTGTAGTATTGTAGTTGTACATAGTAATAGTATAATAATGGGTACATATTATTTAGGTGGACTCTGTTTTTGCTTTATATAGTTATGTGTTCTACAATTTTAAATATACTGTAGAAAGAATCTGAAATGGCAAGATTATATAGTAAATTGCTAGTAAAGTGGCATTTCGTTTTTGTTTTTGGAAAAAAAAAATTACCTGACTGCCTTTAGTTTTCATTAAAGTTTGCTTTTAAAGTTATCCTTTATCTATAGTTTATTATCAATACAGCGGACAGGGACTGCGAGGAATATTGTTGATTTCTTTGTAGAGAGATCGTCCATAGTGGCGTGACAATTTCTACTTCTGAACAGGTTGCAAAGTAGAATTCACATCAACATTTTTCAACATTTATCATCATTAAACAGAAATAATTAAAACAGTGATCTGTAACTGATTAATGTTAGATGAAAAGGATTAATTTGCAGCTCTCAGCTAGTCCATGTTCGGACTACCCAGGACTCACCGCGCGGAGGTAGCTGCAAGTCGAGTCCCACCCTCCTTCCACCCGTCTTTCAGTTTCAATAAAATGATAAATACTTATTACAAAAAGAAAAAAAAATGAAACTGTAAGACGCACAAAAATTAAACGTAAAATCTGATTATTCAAAAATTGAAAACAAATACAAAACGACTATGAATAATATATATCTGAAAAAAAGGAAATCTAAATAAGTAAATAAATATTTAATTGAACAAATGGTAAATGGTTGTTGAATTAGGTGTTTTTATAATCCTTGCATACATTAAATTTGCTTCTTAATTTGTACCAAAAAAAAACCATTTACCAAAACTTTAATGTATCATCTAAGTTACTTCGCTCTCTTGTTTGTTATTTATTTCATTGATTTTTTTGTTTCCTTGTTCTATAATTTCAAGTATACTGAAAAAAATTGGTAACGGAAAATTGTATTTTCCATCTATTTTCGCAAAAAATGATTGCCAGTGTTTATTATTGTTTCTCATTAGACTATGTTTCCTAAGTTATTCTTCTTCCAGTATTCATATTGCAAAAATTATCTAGGTAGATCATATCCCTTTTTCATATGATTTCATTTTCCATCATGTCATCTGAAAAAAAAATTATAATGCAGGACTTTTTGTTAAAATGTCAGATTCTTAGAAATATTTAATATCTGTGTTTGTGAAAAAATATAGTTGATACCACTAAAATAATGTACATGAATGTTTTCAGAACAATATCTTATATCAAAGAAACTTACGTCAGATGTTTCAGACATTAGTATCCATTCTGTAATTGTATAGATATATGGTTTGCTATAATAATGCGTAAACACTATTTAAGTGGATTTTCTTTCTGTTGTGTCTTTTGTTTTGTAATTTTAATTTTACTGAAAGAGAAACCTGAAAATGGAGAAAATGCAGATGATATAGATTGCATTTTCCATCTGTTTTTGGAAAAACATGATTGATTGTCATCTTTTCCTATTATAGTTTGCTTCCAAGTTGTCTTTTTCTCAGCATTAATATTGCAGTTTATGGTTAAGTCGAGTTTTTCTTCTTTATAAGGTTTATTTTTCCAAGCTGTTTCTGTTACATTAGCATTATGGTAAATAGCAGACAACATATAATCCCAGATTTTTAGACCTTCCAAATGTGAGCGTTTCGTAATTTTTGTGATCTAATATTGGATGCTCATTAATCAAGTGGGGTTTTGCTTTTTCATATATTGTTTTGTTGTTTAGTATTTTAAATAACCTGAAAAATAGACCTAAAAATGGAAATATTGTTGATGATGTAATCTGCATTTTATATTGAAAAGTTTCTCGGACTATCTCCATCTGTTGTTGCAAACTATGCATCCTTTTTTCAGTATTGATATTGTAGTTTTTAGCTTGTAGGTTCATCGTTGATATTCCTTACATAGTTTATTTTTTCAACGATTCATCTAAAAAACGTAAATGGACATACATTTTTTGTCAACAAAACTGTTTATATCTTATAAATATGATATGGTTTTTGGTAAATAAGTCGTAGCTGATAGGATTAAAATGTACAATAAGATGTTCAGAAGAATATTTGTGAAAAATATTTTGTATAACTTACATAAAAGTCCTTATTTGACCCATTAGTATTGTATACACAGAATAGTATATGGTAACATGATTTTGCTTGTGAAATTATGGTTCCTCCACTACCATTTATGTTGTAATTTATAGTTAGATCAACCTTTTCTATTTCTTTATGTTATTTGCTTCTGTAGCGGTTGAGTACAATGGTCTTTGAAATATATCTACATTCCATATTGTATAATTTTAAGTAAACTGAAAAATAAAGCTAAAAATGGAAAGATTGTTGATGGTGTAATCTGCAGTTTGTATTGAAAAGTTTCTCGGACTATCTCCATCTGTTGTTGCAAACTATGCATCCTTTTTTCAGTATTAATATTGTAGTTTGTAGCTTGTAGGTTTATCGTTCATATTCCTTGCATAGTTTATTTTTTAACGATTCATCTAAAAAAAGGGATTAAAATGTACAATAAGATGTTCAGAAGAATATTTGTGAAAAATATTTTGTATAACTTACATAAAAGTCCTTATTTGACCCATTAGTATTGTATACACAGAATAGTATATGGTAACATGATTTTGCTTGTGAAATTATGGTTCCTCCACTACCATTTATGTTGTAATTTATAGTTAGATCAACCTTTTCTATTTCTTTATGTTATTTGCTTCTGTAGCGGTTGAGTACAATGGTCTTTGAAATATATCTACATTCCATATTGTATAATTTTAAATAAACTGAAAAATAAAGCTAAAAATGGAAAGATTGTTGATGGTGTAATCTGCAGTTTGTATTGAAAAGTTTCTCGGACTATCTCCATCTGTTGTTGCAAACTATGCATCCTTTTTTCAGTATTAATATTGAAGTTTGTAGCTTGTAGGTTCATCGTTCATATTCCTTGCATAGTTTATTTTTTCAACGATTCATCTAAAAAAAGGGATTAAAATGTACAATAAGATGTTCAGAAGAATATTTGTGAAAAATATTTTGTATAACTTACATAAAAGTCCTTATTTGACCCATTAGTATTGTATACACAGAATAGTATATGGTAACATGATTTTGCTTGTGAAATTATGGTTCCTCCACTACCATTTATGTTGTAATTTATAGTTAGATCAACCTTTTCTATTTCTTTATGTTATTTGCTTCTGTAGCGGTTGAGTACAATGGTCTTTGAAATATATCTACATTCCATATTGTATAATTTTAAATAAACTGAAAAATAAAGTTAAAAATGGAAAGATTGTTGATGGTGTAATCTGCAGTTTGTATTGAAAAGTTTCTTGGACTATCTCCATCTGTTGTTGCAAACTATGCATCCTTTTTTCAGTATTAATATTGAAGTTTGTAGCTTGTAGGTTCATCGTTCATATTCCTTGCATAGTTTATTTTTTCAACGATTCATCTAAAAAAAGGGATTAAAATGTACAATAAGATGTTCAGAAGAATATTTGTGAAAAATATTTTGTATAACTTACATAAAAGTCCTTATTTGACCCATTAGTATTGTATACACAGAATAGTATATGGTAACATGATTTTGCTTGTGAAATTATGGTTCCTCCACTACCATTTATGTTGTAATTTATAGTTAGATCAACCTTTTCTATTTCTTTATGTTATTTGCTTCTGTAGCGGTTGAGTACAATGGTCTTTGAAATATATCTACATTCCATATTGTATAATTTTAAATAAACTGAAAAATAAAGTTAAAAATGGAAAGATTGTTGATGGTGTAATCTGCAGTTTGTATTGAAAAGTTTCTTGGACTATCTCAATCTGTTGTTGCAAACTATGCATCCTTTTTTCAGTATTAATATTGTAGTTTGTAGCTTGTAGGTTCATCGTTCATATTCCTTGCATAGTTTATTTTTTCAACGATTCATCTAAAAAAAGGGATTAAAATGTACAATAAGATGTTCAGAAGAATATTTGTGAAAAATATTTTGTATAACTTACATAAAAGTCCTTATTTGACCCATTAGTATTGTATACACAGAATAGTATATGGTAACATGATTTTGCTTGTGAAATTATGGTTCCTCCACTACCATTTATGTTGTAATTTATAGTTAGATCAACCTTTTCTATTTCTTTATGTTATTTGCTTCTGTAGCGGTTGAGTACAATGGTCTTTGAAATATATCTACATTCCATATTGTATAATTTTAAATAAACTGAAAAATAAAGCTAAAAATGGAAAGATTGTTGATGGTCTAATCTGCAGTTTGTATTGAAAAGTTTCTCGGACTATCTCCATCTGTTGTTGCAAACTATGCATCCTTTTTTCAGTATTAATATTGTAGTTTGTAGCTTGTAGGTTCATCGTTCATATTCCTTGCATAGTTTATTTTTTTAACGATTCATCTAAAAAAAGGGATTAAAATGTACAATAAGATGTTCAGAAGAATATTTGTGAAAAATATTTTGTATAACTTACATAAAAGTCCTTATTTGACCCATTAGTATTGTAGTAAGTATGAATACACAGAATAGCATATGGTAACATGATTTTGCTTGTGAAATTATGGTTCCTCCACTACCATTTATGTTGTACTTTATAGTTAGATCAACCTTTTCTATTTCCTTATGTTATTTGCATTTGTAGCGCTTGAGTACAATGGTCTTTGAAATATATCTACATTCCATATTGTATATTTGTCCAAGAAAGAATTTCTTATTATTTCTCTTCATTTTACTGGATTATGCTGCTTTGCAATAGCTCATTATATACTACGTTAACAGTGTAAGAGTGATTATTTGGAGTTTCAGCTACATGTTGACGGTCACCTATATTTATCATTTGAATCTTGAGGTTTTCAAAACTTCTTGCTCTTGATAGTGCAACATACAGTTGTCCGTGATCAAATACTGTTACTGGTAAAAATAAGCCGACACTGTTCAAAGTTTGACCTTGACTTTTATTAATTGTCATTGCAAAAGCCAGACGTACAGGGAATTGTCTCCTTTTCAAGTTGACTGGTAGATCAAGAGAATTTAGAGCGATATTATCAACTCTGGAAATAAATTCGATCGAAGGTTCATTATTAGATTCTTCCACTCGTTTCGCTTCTATAAAATTTTCGTGTAAATTATGAATCAATAAACGTGTGCCGTTACATAAGCCTCTCTTCACATCTAAATTCTTCGTTAAAATGATAACTGCGCCAATCTTTAGTGTAAGTATGTGGGGAGGAAGTCCTGGAGCATCCAAAGAATTTAAAAAGTCTTGCGGCCATGCGGAATCTAAATCATCAGCAGCATTTTCGGTTGTATCGTCTTCTCGGATAATACTATCGACACTTAGGTATTGCCGTGACCTACCTGGCAGTTTTTCTAAAACAACTGAATTGATATCCTTGACATGAATGTTTAGTGGAGACAAAATCGCTTTTTGTAATAATGTGAAATCGTGTTCAGTTAAATTACTACCGTATATGCTTTCAGTAACATCTTCTACAATGATACGATTAGGAATTTTAACTATAGTGTCTCTGCTATTTTCTAAGCGACGTAAAATTTCGGAATTATTTCCTATGGTCATCAGCCAATCTTTGAATTCGTTTTCTTGTGGCAATGCTCTAACGTTCGTAACAAGATCGTACTGAACAAAGTATTGCCATAGTTGGGAACATTTCACTGATGCAGAAATAGTTTCATTTTTGCCTGCCAACGGAACGATAGGTGCGCATTGCCTGAAATCACCTAGAATTATGATAATCTTGCCGCCAAATGGAATGTCATTGTTCATTATTTCTCTTGTCTTTCTATCTATCTCATTGAATATACTTTTATGTACCATAGATATTTCATCAATGACAATAATTTTTGAATATCTAATATTATCAGCAATCGTACTCTGATTGCGAATCCTCGACGTTGAATTTTCTAGAAATGGAACCGGTAACATAAAAGAAGAATGAATCGTTTGGCCATTTTTCAATAAGCTGGCTGCGATGCCAGTATAACACATAGCAATATAACGGTGATTATTTCCTAGTAAGTAAGCCAGTAGTGTATTCAACAGAAATGTTTTTCCTGCACCTCCAATTCCGTTAATAAAAAATAGACGATGTGGAACCCTTTCGTTTTCGTTTAGGGCCAAAAGTATGTCGTTAAAAATAAGGCGTTGTTCTTGGTTTAACAGAGGAATGTTCCTATTAGCAATTTGTTGTTCGTCTGCTTGGTCATAATTGTATTCATCTTCGATTAGGTGTTCTACTGGTTCAGTGGGTAAGGGTAGTTGAAAGTCTCTATTTGATTTGCCTAAAAATAAAAATGTATGTGATTGAACAAATATTATATAATTATACTGGGAAATTACTTATCACATTAATATTATTTTAAAATAATGTAATATAGGTATAAGATCGATTGAAATAAAAAAATGTATTATGTTATGTTAAATTAATAGTGTTAAAGATATTGACGTAATGAATTAATTCATATTTTTTTAGCACGGTAGTGTTACCTAGAAAATGATTAAATTTAAAAAATTTCGAATACGGAAAAAATGTAAAGTAAAAATAAAAAGTTATTTGAAAACATAGGCATCAATTTTAAATGAATTAATAAAACTAATTATTGATAGAAATACTAACCTTGTAGTGTTAGATATCGATTGATGTAAGCCAAAGCATAGTTGTAGGCTAGTTCATTATTATTTAAGCGTCGTATATAATCTTCGGATAAATGATATTTAAATTGTTCCCATAATGCTAACGGATTTTCGATTTCACAAAAAAGTAACATTTGTGAAAACATACGGCGAAGAGCTCGTGGAATTTCTACGCGTATAGCCTCTTGCAAAGTAGAAAACCAAATGCTATCGTCCGTGAGAAGGTTCATCGCAATAGCAGCGTCACGGAACGTTTCGTACGTACGGCCATGTACAGTTCGAAGGTCTTCGAATGATCTACATCCTGTTTTATGCAAAAGAAGTTGACGAAGATAAAATCGTTCACCTTCTCTAGGATGAACAAAATATAACCTAGGAATTAAACGATCAAAATTTCGTTGACGTTTTACCCAATGTCTTGTTTGACTTATTTTCCACACATACTTATAAGGTATTTGTACGTAAGTGTATTGCCTAGCTTCTTCGTCTTGTACATTCAAAGCGAACCATCCTGTTAGCGTAGTGTGTTGTGTTGCGGCTCTTTCTACAACGTCAGGGATGGTACTATTTGTATTAAAATAGACTTGTTGCATATTGGGAAGATGTACAGTAAGTTTGATGATAGCATGAGACATATCGTGCATTTCGAATGTATAAATTCTCCACATTGCCTCAGGTGCGCTAACATAGCGAACGTCCATGAACGTTTGAATTTCGTTGTATATAGGTTCCTGAATAGTTGTTGTTTGACCGTCTTGTTCCTCTACAGTTCGCACGACAATTTGAGCTCTATCAAATCCTTTATATATATATTTAAATAAATATTTCACGCTTTTATTGAAGAACAAGCCTCTACGTTAATATGAGCTTCGTATTTTTCAAGTAGATAAGCATTGTATGGTACAACCCAACCGTTATCTACTGTTCTTCTACCTATGTGTATAGGTACTTCTATTGGCCGTCTTTTATATAGCGGATATCCAGAGGAATTGTATAATGTATCTTCACGCAAAGATTTCGGGAATTGTTTGCTGCACTGTCCTTCGTCATCTAAGCATCGAGCAGCAGTACAAGGTCCATGAAGCATATGTACTTTGACCAATTCGTGCAAGTTGGGATGCGTGATAGGGTCGGGAAATTCTGCTGAAATTAAACGGTCGATTGCTGCAGAGTCCAAGATTTTATCTGATCCTTCCAACCAAATCAACATATGCGCATGAGGAAGGCCTCTTTTCTGAAATTCTATCACGTAAACGTAAGCAACGCAAATTCCCATGACATGTCGTTTATCAATATCTTCTATTAATTCCTTCAATTTGCTCTTAAACACCCTCGAAACAAAATCGGGCCTATTTGAGGAATGTTGGTTGTATCTAGGTTATTCCTATTTCAGGCCAAACAGGATTGCAAGTAAATGTTAGGAAAATATCTGGTTTCCCATGTTTTGTGACTATAGACATGGCATCCAAATAATTTTGTCTAAATGCGCGTGGGCTTCCTATGAATGTTGACGGTAGGATGAAAATATTGCCTGGTTGATAGTGAACATCAAGTTGTCTAGAGTCTAAATAGTCGATTAGTCCTTGGAATATTTCTTGCCTGATGCGTGGTTGGTTTTCAGTAATAAATTGTAATCGACTCTGTTCTATTTTTACGTATGCATCTACGATGTACTGTTGCGTCAGCTTGCCTGCCATTACAAATTGGTTGAAAGTATCTGGTCGAACAGCTATTCTAAAACTGTAGTATTCCAGTAAAGATACATCACCTCTTCTACGTTGATGCGCTGTTCCAGATTGCCAGCCTGGCTCACCTCTTGGATGTAATAGGGGATATGTCATTGCGTCGCAGTTAACACTAAGATATGGTAATTCGTGGATGATTTGATCGTTGTCTCGACAATAAACATGTAAGCAACGATCCAGGGGCGGTCTTCCATCTTCAGAAATAAATACGGCTGCTATTTCATTCGCTTGTACTGCGCCATATTGTCTAAAATTAATATCCCGAGCACGGTTGTTATTGATGTACAATTCTAAAGTTAGTTGACGATTGTTATGTTGTTGTTCCTGATAGACATCTTTAAGAAATCTATACGCTTGAGCAAAAGGATTGTGGCTGTGCATGTAATTAGAAATAACATCGACGGTTTCTCGATTTAATTCCGTTCGATTTTGTGGGCCAGCAGACCGAAGCTGATTTGCCAGTTCGGTATCCAAAAAATATAGATTGCCGTATTGTCTGCGTTCATTAGAAATATTTGTTGAAACATTTGATATATAATGTCTTATTTCTCCCTGTACCTGTAAAGAAAAATAAATTCATTATGGAAGGGATAACGAATTTATTAATATTATAAGTGGTTTAAAAAATGAAATAATTGGTGTCTAATATATAACTGTTCTTTGTATATGAATACAATAAATAGTATTGTAAAAAGATACAAGTAAGATATGAAATATATACTGGGAAAGGTTGGGAAATCTCGAAACTGGATATGTTACAGACCAAAATGTGTGAATTGACTTAAACATATCTCAATCTAAAAGTTGATAGTTTGCAAGATACAGGATGTCAAAGTTACAATTTTATTTTCTATTTTTCCTTAATGTTTGAGAAGTATTTCAGATGTTGCCATAAAACACGGTATAGGGAGGTCTTCTACTATAAGAAACAAGAATTCGTTATTTTTTATGGCCAAACTTTTTGAGGGCGCCACATACAGTACTATTTCGGTAAATAAATCATCATAACTTTTTTGTGCTATTTTAACAACAGTTAGAAGTGTAAAGTGAAAAGTGTAAAAAGTAATTTTTAAAAATACCAATGCATTATTTGTATTATGATGATAAATTATTTTTACAACATAATAATAAAGTTGCTTTAGATAATATCTGGGTAGCGTTGCTATGGTTTCTAATGTTCGGCATAAGATTATTTTAAGGTCTATGAATAATTTTAAGTTGACAATAAACGTTTACCATCATGGAATATAGGTTTGATGAATATTCTGATGAGAATTTAATATATGGATTAGTAAAATGTAGTGGTTTAAAAGCACGAAGATTGTACGCTGACAGATTCTCTAATAGTCACTTGCCTAATTCAAAGATATTCCAACGAAACGATCAGTGGTTACGAGAAACTGATAAGAAATGATTATAGTCTTATTTTGAGTAGTAAATACCATTTGCATTTAGTTAAATTTGCTCGAGTATGGGCCAACATACTGGAGCTCTCAAAATTGTACGTACAGCTGAAATTGAAGAAAATGTTTTAGATGTTGTCTTTGAAAATTGTACAGTTGAGGTTGGGAATGTAGTTCGAGAATATCAAGTTTCCAAATGTTCCATACATACCCACTTGCAAAAAGTATATGGTTTAAGAGCGGATGAGAAACCGCAAGGATAGAAATTTGTACATAGCTCTTAACTCGCAAAATCTTTACATGTATGCAATATATCCTCATGAATAATATAAACTTGCCAAAAAGTACAATTTCAATTAATTTATATAGAAGAATGTTCTTCTAGGGTTATTTAAAACGACGCATTTACAATACGTTAGTGGAAATTGTAGATGATCTTCAACAAAAAATGTTCTACCATAGTTAGGAAATGAAAAAATAGTATCGACGTTTTGGAGAATGTAGCAAGGATTAGTTTGTCGAATTTGAAAGTGTGTTAGATAAGGTAGTGCTCATTTTGAACAACTTTTGTAGTTATTATTTCGTTTAGTAGTTTTGTTGCCATCTTCATTTATTATTGTTAAAAATCATAGCAATGCTACTCACATATTGTATAAAACAATTTGACTATTATGTTATAAAAATGATGTATCATCATGGTATAAACAATACAATGGAACTTTAAAAACAAATATCTCGAAAACTATTAGCTTTAGACATTCAAACAAGTCTTTTTTGTTGTGAAAATACGGAAAAATAAGATTTTTTGTTTAGTTGTATACAGAGTAGCAAAAAAGTTATGATAAGTTATTGACCGAAATAGTACTACAACTGTCGCTCTGTATAACTTTGCCCAAGAACAATATTGAATTTTTGTTTCTTATACTAGAAAACCTCCCTATACCGAGTTTTATGTCAAAATCTAAAATACTTCTCAAGCAAAAAGGAAAAATAGAAAATAAAATTGTAACTTTGATGCCCTGCATCTCACAAACTATCAACTTTAGGATTAAGATATATTTAGGTCAATTCACAAAATTTGATCTATAGTGTATGTTATGCTACACTGTATGTTTCTTTTTTCAATACACATTGTAATGGAAAGTTTCAAAATATTTATATCATCAAATATATATATATATATAGATAAAACTAAAATTCCACGACTTGGTTTGGTGGGTTATATTTCAGATCAAGCTTATTTTTTTCCTGGAAAGTACCTATAGAAGTATGAGGTTTTGTAAAATATTAAGATTCTAGGTTGAATGATCCGATTTAGATATCGTTATCCTAATTGTAATATCACGTATCATCAAATTTGCTGAAATTGAGATTCTAGCATAAATAAAAAGTAAGCAGTATTGCACACCGTCTATAAAAACCACGTATCAGTTTAACCAATAAGAAACGAGCTATTTCATTTCAAAGAATACCGCGTAACATCATCCACAAAGTTAGCTGAAAAAATACCTCGTATGAACAGCAGTTTAGACGTGGTCCTTACGAAGTGCGCATCACGCTGCGACAAGTTAGAGGAATAAGCTGATTTTAGCAAACGTACGTTGATAATTATCATAATTAGAGTAGTATATATTAGCGTTAATATACTGAACATGTCATTTATTAGTCTTGTTTGAGTAATTAAGCAATACTTTGAATAAACAAGCCGTTTTTATTCAAACTTGATGATACGTGTTTATCTCAAATTATGTCCCATTGTAATTCTTTTTGTAGTTGGATGATACGAGTTATTGTTTATTACTATTCCAAGCATTTAGCGAAAGAATCGACGAAACATTAAAATGTCCTTGCTTCGTATTTCCTAATTTATAAAATTTATATTTGAAAAGCGCTGTTGCCAAAATGCTTACTTCAAGTTCAAGTAAATTGCCAAGATGTATAGTTCTAAATTAAATACAACTTTTCGGAATTTATAGGAACCTCATC